CACCTGTTAGTGTTGCTCACTAGCCACTAGTGACTCGAGTTGTTCGTCCACGAAATTTGCAATTATGCACTACGGTACCAGCAAGAGTAGGTAAGTTGGCATAGAACAACAGCTATGTACAGCCATGTTCATCTCCTCTTCACTTTGGAAGGCAGTACAAGCACCCTTCATTGCCTTGGAGTGGAAGCAAATTCACCATGAGTTTTCCACTTGGCTACAATCGATCTCGGGGTGATGATCGTGTCTTCTTCATCACCACTGCAGCCTGGACAGCCTTCGAGAAGACATGTGTCACTCTCCTGCTCAACAGATTCCTACATCTAGATTTGGTTACCGTCAGGGAACGAAATAGAGCTGCAAAACATCAAAGTAATTGTTTTCTTCCATTCAATTACACTGCTGAGCATGCACAGCATGGTGACAGCTAAGCAGTACGCACGTCATCAAGCCCAATTTCCAAATATGGAAGGTGTTACTTATGAAATTTGACACGGTTCCTCTTCTCTGATCGGCTTGAGACATAGCTCATCGGAATCAGTGCCCAATTCCCCTTCGGATAAGCCATACTTATTTTTGGCGTTCAGTTTCCCTTTAACATGTCAGAGGTGGATTAACGTGACAGAGGTGGAGAGCATGTCAGAGGCAGAAAGAGAGAGAAAAACTGTATGCAAACTGTGAAGGCAGAGGCAAAGACGCGCAGTAATCAGTTGTGGGTAAACTTGCCGATTAACAGCCCATGTAGCGGTGTATAGCATTGTGGCGAGGCGGCGACTGGGTAGTCCGCAGCCAATCCAGGTACGGAACATGACAGCAATACAATTTTGTAGTAGTAGCAGCAGTGCTGGCTCCACGACTGGGGAGGCTTTGCGGGTGGGAGGGGCCAAGCTCCAGCTTGTGGCCGGCGCACACTGGACGGTGGTTGGAGGGTGGTTGCTCCACAGCTGCTCCAAGTCCAGGCGGTGAGGTGCAGATGTTGAGCCTCAAGTTTATTGTCAACAGCCCGTGATTGACAGGCAGCCAGAATGCGGTGCACGCAGGAATGGACTGCAGCGAAAACCAGTGATGGCTGGCAGGCTGACGGGCAGAAGCAGCATGACGACGGATGGCGGCGGCAGGAGGGCGTAGTCCGCAGCAGCTCCAGGTGTGCCGAGGGCGGGTGGGCGGCGAGAGGCACCACAAATTCCCAAATCCGGAAAGTCAAAATAATTCTTTGTGCCATCTCCAATAGGTCCGTCAAATACAGTAGTAGTAGGTTTTTTTCCTTTTTACCCGACGAGACCATACGACGCTTGCAGATCACAGCACGAACAGTTCACCAGCCACACTCCACGAAAGCAAGTAGTAGTACTCCTGACAAGTCTTGTTTCGTTCCATAGAGATAATAGCGGGGAACTCATCAAAATGAAAAACCCACTACTAAAGTCAAAATACTAGAATGCTCCGCGAGCGCAGCGTCGGGGGTCACCAATTTAGGCACCCAGGATGGCAGAAGTCGTATCTGTTCACGGGGGAGACAGATGAATCCCGGGACATACCACCCTGGGGCCTAAAAAATTACAACTCAGAGGAGAGGGCAACTTTGTCTAATTGTTATCGGTTTTTTTTAGAACAAAGAGAAAGAAATGTGTCATGCGCATGCGTATATCTGGTGAGGGAGCTGACGTCATGCAGCGAGGTCGCTACAATTGCAACAAAAAATCCGGGTCAGAGACCCCAAAGTACCCTAAAAACGATACAAAAACGGGAGCTGAAAAACATGCATCCTACTCTAAAACGTTTCAAATGACTGTGTGTATGCGAATGGATACGTGTGTGAATGCTAGGTGAAGAGTCTCAGTTTTGTGACATTTTCTTTCTGAATGCATAGATTAGGATTGTGTTTACGGATGAAAACAGCTTCTAATACCTTAAGAGAAGTGCAAAGCAGAGCTGGAGTGCTGCCGCCCGATAGCGGACTGAAAACTACTACAGTCCATTCATCGGAAACTGGCCCGCTGGCTTTTGAAAGTCGGATTTGGGCCGAATTGAGGATCAAAAACCCACTTAAATCTCAAAAATCTGGGTTTTGGATCTGCTTCTCCATACATTTTGCCATGGCATACCTGTCCTAATTTTGTAAAACCTGGCTGAATTTCTAATTCCCTGTTCTTGGACTTTTCTGGCCTCAAATTATATATTTTTTTAACTGATATAATATTTTTTTATTGGGAACACAGCCCTACAAAGAGACATGTGGAGACAAACACAAGACAAGACACAGGGGATGTAGGGACGACGTGCAGATGTACAGGGAGCAACTCGACCGACCAGGAATGTGGCAAGGAGTAATTGCACGGGTCACACAATGCAGGATGTACTGTTGTTTTCACGATACCAAGAGTACATGAAAACCAGAGTGTGCAGCTTGGGGCCTTTTCTGCTATGGGTGTCTGTCACGGCGAAATTCCGTGATTACATCATATTTGGCCCAGATCTGAGGCGGGAAATGGCGTAGTGCGTACAACTGAGCTGCAGTTGTGCAGAAAGAGACCTGCTTGAATCCTGCTTGTACGCACTACATCCCTAAAATGATGTAATCACGGAATTTCGCCGTGACAGCAACCCATCCGAGCTGCACACTCTGGTTTTCATGTACTCTTGACGATACCTACAACTACATGTATGTGAGAGAGACA